CGGGGGGGGGCGACCGCCCCCCCCCCCTCCCCTATGGCCAGGTTAGCATTTGATTTATTTATTCAAAATAGTATCTGCATTAAATTTTATCGGAGCCATTGAAATAGATACTCAAGTTCTTAACCCAGACGAAAAATTTAAAAAGGTGAAAGGACGAGGAATGGTGGTAGGCGGGGGGAGGGGGGTAGGTAGGAACTTGGGAGTCGTCCCCCCTATGAAAAATTTCTGTATCCGCCCCTGAGTCTACTTCCAGTCAGTTCCGGGATTTCCTACGTTCTTCGGGGTTAGAACCGTGGAAAGAAGCTTGGGAGAATGACATTTACCATGAATGGAGACAATGAGCAAACCAAGAATGCTTGGTAAGAAGACTCATGTTTAGGGAGGCTCTCGACGCAATCCAAAATTTTCATCTGTCTCTTGGCTTCAGGGTCATCCGAGGCTATAACGATACAGATGCCTCATGGGTTCCATTCGAATAGAGCAGGGGTCGGGAACCTTTTTGACCATGTGAGCCATATTAATATTGAGCTAAGTGCTCATGAGCCAAAGATTTTCAAAACAACATAATTTTTTCCTGAAGTTGGCAACAGACGTACATTCTTTGATACATGAGAAATACGAGGGATTTCTCAAAAGTTCTGCCAGTAGCCCCAAAGTAGCACTTTGCGGTCACTTCCGATGATGACTTGTGGGCTACTGGCAGAACTTTTGAGAAATCCCTCGTATGAGGAACAACCATGATTTTTAGTCACGACTCATGAGCCAAACTTTTCGGTTCGCGAGCCAAATTTGGCACATGAGCCACAGGTTCCCGACCCCTGATATAGAGTTTTGGACGACAAGCCGTGGCATCTCATCCTGAAAAGTGAGTATTTAATTTTGTCAAGGAAATGTTGAGCTAGGCATTGATGAAGACCTTTTCAGGCCTTCGACTAAATTCCAGGACACAACTTGAGTATATTAGGTGATCTGGAAGGAGCTTAAGACTTTCGCGACATTATGTGCTACATGTGGTACATGTACATATTTTCAGGTATTCAGTGGGGGAAAACACTTTTTGGGAAATTTGAATTGTTAGTGATTCCGATTTTGAAATAAAAATATATAATTATGTTACTGACAGTGAAGAAATGTAGGCACACTTAACGAATAATGACACCCACCCCGACACAGCATGAAAATCATACATTTCCCTTACGTTACGAACGTGTAAACAAAAAACATGACAAATATTGACAACGGAATTCGTACTGCGCCATCAGGAAAACCAAGAAGTACAGGTATTTTTTCATTTTCACGACCTATCGCGCACAGCCGCGAGAAGCTTGTTATTAGTAGTAATAGTGTGCATTACTGTTTTTATTCTTATTGCTGTTATAGCTCCCCTGTCGGTATAAGTTTCAATATCGAGAGGGCGGGACTTACAAGTTACGCGAGCGATATGCGAGAGAGCGATGCGATTGGTGTCCCCTTGCTGGGAGTCGCCTTTGTCAGGATGAGACATCACTGGTAATTGCTCAAAATCTAAACTCTGTTGTGCTTGGTTGGAATCTGCCATTTGAAATCTGTACTAAATGTATGGAATCTCATCAGTCGAATTCTGTTCTTAGCCTAAGTTCACTGTTATCTACGTTACGTTGCACTCTGTTCTCTTCTTCGCGGACAACAATGAATAAGATCGTAATGCCTCTGTCTAATATCAAGTGAAGGCAGTTAGGCATTCTGAATTCTCTGATCTCTTACCTCAGCCGCACGCCTCCAATATCCAATGGATTCGAGCAAATATCTAATAGCCTAATCTAACAAGATACAAAATAAAAAGTGAATTCTCATTAAATGGTTGTTGACTCTCAATATACGCTTGCTAGAACATAATACGAGGTTACACCGAGAGCTAGCCTCGCCAACGGAAGGGGCGAGGCGAGTGGAACCACAACAGTCTGACATCATCGCTGGAAAGGCCTCGATGATTCAGATCCTTTTATGCACTGCGGTCTGATGTCATTATGAAGGCGCGCCCACTTATACACGTCAGAGGTGTGCCTCTCCCGGATAGGGATTGTCTGGGAGGCTTTTTAAATGTATTAATTATGTTTATTCCAATTCAAGCCAATACTTCGAAAAATATCCAACTCGAACCTCGTTGACAGCATTTACTGAAGAAAGTTAAACTGGGACGCTGGTGGAAAGCACCGACTTATAATTCCAGTCTTCCATGATGCAGATGGAGACTGCTGAGACTCACTATGAGCGTTTTTACACGGCACTCGGAGAATTGGCGGGCGCCAACCGTGACACCTTCAGATTCACTTCTCCCATCAGCAATGAAACAATGGAATTCTGTCCATTTCCAGCATGTGAATAGTTATAACTTAACGATTTATCATATAATGTGCGGAATGGAAGAATCTAGCAAGGTTTCCAGGAGTGAAAGATGGAGCTAAAATCGTTTTAAAATATAGTTTGTTTTGCAGAGATTGCCAAGGTGGAAAATAAAAAAAATCCTGCAACTGCGGTATCATCAAAGGAACGTGAAAATTGCATTTTCCCCATAAAATAAAAGTATTTACATGTTTTTGTTTTATATTTCCCCCAACGGTGGAATGTAGAGGATGGACTTGTCATCACTTGGGGATTTTAAAAGATCTCCGAAAATGAAAGGCATGAAGCATCTGTTATCTGTAGATTTCATTGGAAGATGGAAAAACACACGTTTCATACAGCAGGACCCGCGAATACCAAGAACAAGCTCTCGTGACACTAATACGCGAAAAATTGGTGCTAAAAACATCCTCTAGCGTCTCCTATGGACTGCTGCAATTAGTATGCACGCAGGAACATGAACACATGAAAACAGAAAACAGAGGGGGAAACTTTAATTTATTTAGCATCCAGTACAATTTACACATAGCATATACCTTTTGGCTGTCTAATCTTTGATTCTCTGAAATCTACACAATACTTTGCATTCACCCTGTACCCTTTACTACTTGTTTCAGTTCATTATGACGTAAAAATCGAATCTTGCGAAGGGTGTTATGGATGCGGAGCTTCGACCTTACTTCACACTTTTTTTTAGGCTTTCACACAAAATGAGAGACTATGATATCGACGAAAGGACGAGACGTGGAGATCTACAAATTGAAAATTTCACGTCTATCTCTTGTGTCGTCGATGTCATCGCTTTCAAGGTGGACCAATCGTCTAATCGTCAAATGTCAGCGTTAAACTGTCGGTAGCACCCGAAACACTTATTGTGATAATATGCGGCGGTTCTTGGCATTGTAGAAGCATGAACAATACGTAATGTGAAAGAACAGAGGGAAAATAAACAAAAATCTGGAGGAAGGTTAACGTTGACGCCAATAACTATTTCTTGGCTACGCTGTAACTCATTCTGGGGCATACTGGTCCTTCTCCCCCTCCATCATGAGACAGAAATAATGCTTTAAAAAAAAAAACAATTTCATTCTATTGGAATCTATGGATACATTGACTGGCCAATGCCTAGAAACAGAAGAATAAAATAATATAATTTTTTGAAGATCGGTTAGGTGGCGATAAGACAGACCTAAGATAAGCTCTAAGAGACTTGTGCCGAGAGGATCCGATACTCCAATTACTGGACCGTAATGTCGAGCTGTCCGGTATCGCTTTGTCCATAACATATTACTTAGCAGCCAGAGTAATGTGGACAACTTAGCACTCTCATCAGGAGGAATTCTTGTATTTTGTGATGTTTCGATGTTGTGAAATCCGATTTTCGCCTTCCTTTATTATTTTTTGATTGACGTATTCTTAAGTTCCTATCTGCGTATATTTGCGAGAAATGTTTTGCACTGATGAGGCGTTTTATTCCTCTTGCTTGGAAGAGACTGCAAACACCCCTTTCGTGATGACTCCGCCTTTCAGGTCTCCCAAGCATTTACAATAATCCTTGAGTCCATATTCCTTGATCCCGAGCTTCTCCGCAGACAATCCCCTAAAATGGAAGGATGGAGAACTGATTCAGAAACCCAGCAAGTCGAGGCTATAAGAATCTATGCTGCATAGAGAAGGCGTACAGATTGGGGTTGAGCCACATGGAATGAAGAAGCCCTACTGCTTTGCCGTATGTGAATGGATTGGTGAGGGTTCCAAACATTCGCAACTCCTTCCAGAACATCACGAACGATGGCACCCTGTTGCGAAGAAATTAAGCAATATGATATTTTGGAATGGAAGATATCATTAACGAATTGATTCCGCTTCACTCTTCGTTACCAATGCGAGAGTATGTGGATGGAGGCGACGGAAAGATAAGTTTCTCCATAAACACCATCCTACTCCGGGGGTGATGCGGAATCAAGTCACTTGGAAATCTCACAGAAATGATCTCTCTGCGAACGCCTTTACTTGCTTCAATGGGTAAAAGCTCTAATGTTTTTGGTTGGGATATTTTTTCTGGTTCGATTCGAGGGTTTGTCTGCATACGCTTCAAAGGAATATATCCATCATCCGAACATTGGTTGATATGGTGATAGCAGCCACTATGAGATACCACATTGGCTGCCATTCTTGACATTCTGTGGCTGGGCCCGAATAGTTTCCAAACTTAGTCATGTGTCTCATAAATGAACCTTTTGAAACAACATCTGTAAATTTGATTGAAAACTACCCTCTTCCCCACCTTTCAATTGAGTCGTGAGCGACTGGAAGGACATTGCAACTCACTGGACGACTTCAGTTTTGGGCGCAGCAGCGAAGATAATGATGGTGGCACCCTTGTTGGCCACTTCGATCCCCTTCTCGACTGCCTTTGCCACTCCGCAGCAATCCACGATTACGTCAAAGCCATCCTCTTCTTCGTCCAGTTGAGCCGGATCCAGGACCTTGCTCACAAATCCTAGACCAGGAAACTACTTCTGCAACTACTGAGAATGCATCCTTAAGTTAACTAGGGAGAGTGACAAATGTGATCAAGGACGAATGATGCCAAAGCCGCATGATCGTTGGAAACTTCCCGATGTATGAAGAAATCTATCATTTTGTCATCTTACTGGTCAGACATCAACTCTTAATTCTTCCCTTCTTGGTAAGCGAAAACGGGTAGCGCTTCCCAGCTTTTGAAGTCAAACTACTTATTTTAAGTTTACCATTATTTTCGGAGCCAATTTAATTTTACAACGAAATTCTAGAGGATTTCAGAAAATTCAGTGGTGAAAAATCTGCTTCAAAGTTTTCTGTGTCCCGACCAATAATGTCAAGGATACTTCAACACAATCCTAAACATCGTAGAAGCATGTTAGCAACCATCAGCATAAGACATTTCTTGAACGCTAAATCTCTGATGTGAGAAGAAAAATTTTCAAAGAAGCTGTGAAAACGATCTTAATTGGAACCTCGAAAAAGCCTTTCCCTCCAAGAGGTGTCTTACCAGACTTTTGAGCATTGGAGCGCCTATGGGGAGAGGCTTCGCTGAGAGTGATGTCCATGTGTCCTTGATGCTTAAAGAGGGCAGCCCAAAGGAGCCCCACGATCCCACCGCCGAGGATCAAAATCCTTGCATCGGGGTCTATCATCCCTAGCATCTCCTTCCCGTGGTAAATGCACGACAGCGTCTCCGCCAGGAACCCTGCACATACGAGCTATTGGGGAAACTGACTAGAACATTACGGGGTGAAACGTGTGAGAAAAGTGAACGATAGAGAGTGGTGGGATGACCAAATCCAGAAACGTCAAGCTTCAAAAGTGGTCAATATGGGGAGGAGTTTGAGCCAAGTAGTTAAAAATTAAGTACGGGCGAGTCTCGTAAGTGTTGTTACTTGCGGTATGTAATAGGTGCAGTCCAAAACCAGCCTCCGTTGTCATATAGCGAGAATCTGGTAAATGTTATAGTACTGCTGGTGCCATTTTCTTTCATCTTGATCTATAAGCTGTGTGTAGTGCAAGTTTCAGCCTGTTGCAGCATGTTCTAAGGGCGTGACAGTCTGTTGTGTGATACCTATTTTTTTAATACTGTTATTGACACAAACTGGCACCATAAAAATTCATGCTTTTTCAGGACAACGCGCCACCACACAGAGCCAGCATTGTGATGGTGCTTTTGATGGGAAAAGGCATCGAAATCATTTGGCACCCTCGCACTTCTTGCTGTTCGAAACTCTCAAAGATTCTCTGTGAGGAACTCTTCACTCATCAAGAACAGCAATGACAGCAATTCCCCAGGGTTCAAAACACGTCCCTAATGACTCGTCCAACATATGTCACCAAAACTAGGTAAAGTGGTGGCATCTGTGTCTGGAGAAAGCTGGTGACTATGGTAAAAAGTGGACAGAGTTTGTAGCAATACAATTGATGGAGCAAAACGGAAGTTAATTTTGGATTGCACCTCGTATGTATTAGCTTCACGTGCGATTAGCAAATGATTCTGGAGGCTGAAGTATAACACATCTGTTGTTTACAGTTGATGTTTGGAGAGGTCCCATCCTGTTGTAAGTACACTTGATAACGATGCAGCATATTTTAAAGCATTTTACGTATTCGATGTGATGTGCTCTCGTATGTTTTTTGTTTGAGCTCGTCGAGTGTGTGGGAGTTGTTGGAATACACTTTCCCCTTCAAAGTCCCCAGAGGTAGTAATGGCAGACGCTTTGGAGAGCGAGCAGGCCACGGACCTTTCGTAATGACATGCTCTCCAAACACCTCCCCAAAGCACATCGAGAGAGTTGTTTTGCAGAATGGGCTGCAGTGTCGTCCTGTTGAAAATGCGCGTAATCCCTTTCCTCAGCGTTCATGCATTAGAAGAACGGTTGCAGAATATCGTTGATGAAAAGAGCGGAGGTTACCGTTGTTGTCTAGAACATTGGTTCAACAACTCGGTTACCACGAACTGCGCACCACCCCCCAGTCAAAAATTATTCATCAGGGCCTCGATGGCTTTTCGTCGACTCGTATATGAGCCGTAGTTGGGCCATCACTGGCATATGGTTGGCTTACGGTTGGTTTAAGCCGGCTTATGGTTGGGCATGTCCTGTTGGCCCTTCATTGGACCAACTTTGGGCAGGGGATTCATTTCAGTAGAATCCGGGAAGTGATTCCTTACTACGACCACTTTGGTTCCATCTCACACCGGTTTTCGAAACCTTCTGTCACATTGGCTCATCTTCGGTCCGAAAATGAGCCAACTTCCCCAGTTATGGCCCAACGATAAAGCATTGAAAAAATTTTTTTACCGTGCATACTCGTATACTGCGCACCATACATTTTCTGGCCGTGCAGCGGTACCTTGCGCATCCCATGTGGATTTTCAGCCGACCAGATTCGCGTATTTTGCGAATTCACGCAGCTGCTCAGATGGAACCCAGCTTCGTCCGCGATGAACAGCAGATTAGGGTCTATCAGTCCAACAGAAATATGTTGCAAAAACCATTGACAAAATCGAACCCGATTTCTTGGATCAGGAGGTCGCAATTGATGCACGACATGAACCTAGTAAGGACGCAACCGCAGTTCCTTCAATGCGCGCCTCACTGAACTTTGAGACGAGTGCATTTGCTGGGACCGACGCCGCGTTGGTTTTCGCAGGCTGTTCGCCATTCGTGCCCGTACATCCTCAACAATAGCGGGTGTCAGGCAGGTTTTTATACTTTTTGCTTACGATCTTGAACGGAGCCTGTGCTAATGCAAATCTTCATCGATTTTGCCACATAAGTTTTGTAAGGTGGTTCAGTTTCCGGAAATTTGGCGATCATTTTTTTTCGTACGCTTGTTTGAACCTTCACTAGTTTAGTTTCAATACAATATACGTTGCTCTATGGTGAACTTCATTCTTCCTATGTACAGTACATAAGCGCAGCGTGGATGGGAAGAGTGGAAGGGGGGAGGAGCACGGTATCTCTGGGATATTGTTATGCATTTCATGGGTCTACCTTTTTTTAGGCTTCTTTTCTTGAAAAGTGGAGGACACGTGCACCCCCCCGACGCTGCGTCGTTGCTTGTTTACACTGATACTGTCGCGTTACACTGAAACAAACTGAACAGCGTAGTGAAGCCCTTGAGAACCGCAAGGAAGAAAGAAGAAATCACGTGACATGTGACGTCACGTCACGTAACACCAACGATTCCACCCCATTGCTCCTGTATAATACTAGGCATTAATCGTGCTGTTATTGCATTACTGTATATTAATCGCTAGTGGCTACTCTTACGTGACTGTATCAGGCTGAGGGTGAAGATATTCTACAATATGCCAGAAGTACAGTAAACATTTTAAAATAACAAATAAAAAAACACAACAGAGAAATCTGATTGGTGAGTACGAGAGCACCCGGACCGGAGTGAATCCCAAACGTGTACGACGAATCATTTACAGACGATGAAGGGGCAGAGTGAAGTGCAAAGCGGGTAATTATGGAAAAGAAAACTTTAACGAATTCATGAGCTTACCGATGTTGAGTGGAAGGGGATGGGGCAAAAGGTAGACCTGAGATGAGGGAACGGCGACGAATTGAGCCCAGCCTCCATCCTTCCAAAGTCCCAATGTCCCATTGATCCCCTCCGTTGGACATAAGTGCGGATTTCCCCTGGAACATCCCCTGCACAGCCCTCCACACCCCCTAGGAAAGAGCATCTCGCCTTCGTCAGGATTTCAGTCATTCGCTTCCAATCTTCATCGGGAACTATTTCGGATGGACTGTGCACATGGCTTTTTTCTTTCATGATTCATCAGAGAGGGAAAAATCTCGTGACACCCAGCGGACAGGGCTCCCAGTCATGTTCCCACGCTGTCCTCCGCCGCAGGACGTTACTATCGCCTCAAACGCAGCACCAAGGCCAGTAAATAGTCTATTTACAGTCTATGGCAGCATAAACATGTTTTACGAATGGTGTCCCTATCAAGACAGATAAATATTGAACTTCCCGGTATACACACGGCGTATTACGAAACCAACAGGCACGGAGCACCCAGTCGATCCGAAATAATCGAATTGCGCTGAAACGAGAGTTATGATTTTCTGGTTGAAACTGACTTGTTAGGATTGACACCAACTGGATCTCCGACCTTGACGGCACGGACTTTCTCGCCGACTGCATGCACAATTCCGCTCACCTCGTGACCTAAGATCAGATCCTTGTCTCGGACCGGAAATTCTCCCTAAACGCACGAGGAAAATAATCCATAAAATCCATTATAAACCACATATTGGCAGAAGAGGAAGTTGAGTGTCTGAGAATGAAAAACAAACTCTTAAGCCTATATCACAGAACAGTATCGTGCCCAGAATATCCCAATGGGGGAGGGTTTAGCATATGAAAAATTGGCAACCCACCCTGCATATATGGCCAAAGAAAAAAATTCTTTGAGAATCGAACCTGTAAAATGTATCCAAGCTCGCCCCCCTCCCCTTGGGGACGCCACTGCCGCAGTTCATACTTTATTCGCCAGTCTCAATTTTCTTGCAGGCAGGGCAGAATTAACGAACAAGCAAACAAAACGCATATCTAGGGGTGCCAAACCAACAGATGTAGCAACATATGAAGGAGAGACTTGCAAATGGTAGGTACTGCTTCCCTGGTCCATCGTAGTACCGAAAAGATATCTAATCGTACAATGAGAAAGTTTAAATCAGTTGTATTCAATAAGTTTAACTTCATAAAAATAATTTCTGATGGCGAATGGTAGAAAGCTACACCTGTGGGACACTATAGACACCTACACCTGTGGGACACTCTTAGAAAATTCCGAGCGTTTGGGGAGAATTTCCGGTCCGAGACAAGGATCTGATCTTAGGTCACGAGGTGAGCGGAATTGTGCATGCAGTCGGCGAGAAAGTCCGTGCCGTCAAGGTCGGAGATCCAGTGGGACTGATATCACTGATACTCCACGGAACCTCTAATAGGTGATCCACTCTCTGACGTGTGCTGTAATCAGTACAGTCAGAGGTAGGTCAACGCCTGTACGAGAGTGAATGCGACACAATATATATGAGAATTTTCGTATTTGCATGACATCCTTATCACTTTCTGATGGGAGCGTTTTTACTCACGGAGGAGGAGAGCAAATTCGCTCCTTTCCCAGAGTGAAAGGGGGGTGAAACTGGAGTTAGCTATTTTACTCTCTTTTTTGAGAAAAAAATCTCTCCCCTTTTTCTAAGAGTGTACTTCCTCGACGGTGAAGCACCTACTCGTCGCAGGTAACCTCTTGATTTATTACCGATCGGTCAATTTACTGGAATAAATTTGTCTCCATTGCTACCAAAAAAAACTACTCTTCGTATCAGACTTTCTCCTGGGAAGTCGAGTCCTATTGCACGAAAATTCACTTTTGTTGCGCAAGACAAACGATCCACGAGGAACGGTGTCTAGATGAGGATACGTTGTACCTGGATGGCATGGAGGTCGGTGCCGCAGACTCCACAGTAGGCGACTTTCACGATCACGTCGTGATCCGATCGAATTTCCGGCATAGGGACTTTCCGAAGGGATAAGCCTCTCTCGATGCCGTCGAACACGATCGCCTCCATCATTTCTCCGGATCACCTTCGAACAGAACAAAAAGCGTATCATACGTACGAATCGAGCTCTAGCACGGGGAAGAAGTAGCACGATAAACTCGGCACTGCGATGGCTAAGCGAATGAGACACGCGGCCAGACACGGAACGTCTGTGTATCAGGGGCCTGTCTTTGCCAAGGTTCTGTCTGTCGTCAGGGGAGGAGTTTCACGCAGTCAGGTCCTCAGGGCCTTATCCACACCATAGACCATAAGGGCATAGAGTAGATAGTGTATCTTGAGACGACACGCATCTCAAATCCTATTCGTTGACAAGGTCGCAATATAAAATAGTTGTCGCTGTCGATCCTCCGCCTAGCGTGTATCAACAGCTCCTCCATGGCCAAGTAGCGGACTCAACGAGACACGATGTTACGTTAAGAAATTCCTTTGGGTCGAATCCCCGAATGAGTCGATTCCTGATTCCTCTGCCACGAAGCACGCCTCAAGGAAGTGTTGTTGATGACAAGCCACCAGATGTCTCTGTAATATTTCGACCCTCCCCTACCCCTCGGAGTGTCGCCTCTAGTTACACTCTCTACTCCATGGTAGAGGTCAGACTTCGTTCTGGTTCTAAACCTCGCCCTGACTGCGCCACAGACACTAGACCAGTGGTCGACAACTGAATTTCACCGGGGGGGGGGTGGCCGTATGGCAGAATGCTGTCCCATTCGGCACAACAACGTCGAGTAAACATTGAACGAGGGTTGATTTTTCAGTGTAGCAATGTTGCCACAATATTGAAATGAAACACAGCTCAAAGTTGAATTGTCAACTTTAGGGCGTTGCCTCCTCCGTTGACTAAGCTGCTAATATCAATCAGAGCTTGAAAGTACTCTAGTGATTACTAACATCCACAGAGGAGTCTTAAAAAGATTTTCAGAATCCGCGTTATGAATCGAATGGCATAACTCCTGTCCGGCACGGGAGTTGCGTACCTAGCCCAACACAGAAGGTAAATATAAGGATGATATCTCAATATCATATTCAGGTCTATCTCCCAAGTAGGAGAAGAAGAGAGACACCCTTGCAGGTTGGCAACGTGTTCTGGCCTACCCAGAATGAGATTAAAACCGTGCCATGAGGTAGGGAATTCAGCGTGTCTCCTCGGACCCCTTTACCAGAAGTAGGCCTACCGGGAGTCAACATCTGCCGGGTTTCCTCCTACATTGGGTCTCTCTAGAAATTCCAAAGCCTTCCCTTTACGTGGGAAAAGGTCGGGTACTTTATGAAAAATGCAAGGTACTGTATTTTTCCGAACACCATGGTGAGTCTCGCTAAATCGGCGGTTGGGCGCCATCTCGCGTCGATCGGTAGAACCTACCCAGGCAAAGACGTTATAGAGAGATCTATAGACTTCTATAGTTTTAAATGTAGTTCTATAAAATTCAATAAACCACTCATTGCATCTGGATAGGACTCTGTACAAATTGGTATAGTACGATATTGAAGCTAGAAACTGCGCAAGCGGGAAGGATACCATCACGTGGGTAAACAGTGGCAGCGAGTGGACGAAAAATCTGGGGGTGGCCAGCACGCCATCACAATGAGCAAGAGGTCATTGATGTAACAATGGGAGCATGAAGCACAAAAGGTGTGTTTAGGTCGGTCTTGTTGCCAGATGAGTCGAACTGCTTCAAGTGGCAGGTAGTTGCAATGAAAGGCTGAACGTTCCGTGTTGGCAGTTCATATCGAATCGAAAACACGTGAAAGGAGAGCGGAAATTGAACCTTGGAACACTGGAAGAGTAGAGGTGCATCCGGTCCGAGGAGAAAATTATCGGTCCCACGACTTACACCTCTTGTGAGTTTCGAGACTTCTCCTACAAAAAAAAGCATCTAGCTCATTTATAATGATCACGAAGATGATATATTCTGTCTTTTTCATTCGTGGAAACTACATAGATACATATAGGCATTGCGGATTAGGATAGCCAAGCAACGTACTGATTTTGGCAAAGGAATCTAACGACATACCTAAAAGCAAAGAAACCTAAAGGCAAGACGGTGTACTTGTTAACAGTCACCCGTTTCGTGCGATCGTATACTTCTGTATTGTGAACACTGTGATGTCCCTTATCCATCGCCTATAAGCCAAGGGAGGGCTCGAGGGCTCTGGCCTCCCAAATGGGAAGCCAGATAGAGACATTTTGGTTCGTCCAGTTTCTCGTATTCCTAAGTTCATTTTTATTTTACAGCCTAATCCCAATCGGCGCAGCTCATTAAAATTGTACCGCTCAGGATGAAACCACTCTCCGAAGCATGATTCCCATGAGGATTTCCAGCAGTTCACAACTACGACCTGTGTCATATCCCTCCACTACCATATGCCAATGCTTTCACAAGTTCATCATAAATTAATCGGATACGAACCTTC